TTTCCCTATATACTCCACTCTCTTTGACCAGTTCACCAAGTGCTTGATTTTTGATTTAATTGGTTACCTTCTATGATTCTATACAGCAGAAGGTTTCTGAAGGGCTTACCAAAAGAGGCTTAAATCACAGCCGTATTACTTCAGCTCTGTAAAGCCCTACAGAAGCGCTCCTGAGGAGACAGCAGGTGTTTAACACACAACATTTAGCAGAAAGGAAATATATGGCAACCAGGGAAATAAGCTGGCATTTAACAACTCGGGAGACTCAAAAGGCGTTTTGCTTTGTGGGAGGAACGTAGGTAGAGCAAACGGATGTGGTGTATCAGACAAGGGCCCTACCACGTGGACTTTTCAAAGTAAGGTGCTTGAATTTGATGTGGAAGAATAAAGGAAGCCACGAGGGGCTGGTGCAGCGTGACAGGAGGAGCGAGAAGATTATTTTAGCTGCCTCAATCCAGAGGAGGCACACGGGGACCTGGGGCGGCCAGAACAAACGCTTTGCAGCAAACGTGACAAGAAGCAACTCAGAGGGTTTCCAGAGGAAGGATGAAAGGAGAGAACACAGCACACGCAAGTACAACGGACTGTAAGGCAAGCTGCAGGATTTCCCAGCACGCGAAGCTCAAGAAAATAGTCCTGTGTAAAATACAACGGCCGCATCGCAGGCTTACACAGTGGTGCTGTGAGAACTACTGCGTCTCAGGGACAGGCATTTTAGAAATAAGGTAACAAACCCATTAGTCTGTGAACTAAACACAAGTACGTAACAAAAGATGGCTGAAACGCAACGTAGAAGAAAAAAATCTGGGTTCCAAATGCAACAACATCAAACGGCAACTAAGCAGAGAGACTCCGAAGCAGGTCACGAATGAAGCGGGCGAGATGTGCAAAAACCCAAGTGGTACAAACAACACTGGAGTTGACGCCAACAACCGGAGCGAGCACTGGGCGCAGGCTGAGGGGGGGAAGCCGAGGCTGGGGCTCAGCAGCAGAGCCGCACTGAAACGTGCCAGGGGAGCGGGAGCAACGACGCTGGCTCCCTACGGACACAGAGCTGCTGCAGCACAAGAGGCATAACATATGTTTGCCGAGATATTTTCCACAATACACACGTGGTTCCTTGGGGAAAGACACGGGGGACATTCATGGGACACAGCAGACCTGGCTTCTGTTTTGGGCTCTTTCAGGAACATGCCTTAAAACTTCAGAGAAGTAATTTTCTACCTCTGCACCTGACTTCACTTCACTCTTACTCAATGCTATCTATTTAGACAGTGAACTGAAACTTGGGCAGTTTCTTGCATCTCTTCACTGAGCATCTCACAGGCAGAGAACCGATCTTATTTGAGTAAGTGAAGTGCTGCTGTAACATCACAAAGGTACCAAAATTTAGATAATGCTTCAGATGTTTAAACAACAAACAGATGGGCAAATGAGGGGTTTTTATTAAGGGAACTTACCTAGCACTGTGACATAGATGGAAAAAAATAAAACTTAGGCAAAAAAATTCATGAACATGAGCTCATGAAGTTACGTCGGGCATAAAATCAAGTTGCACAATACAGTGAAGGCACCAGTATCTGTCAGCTGGTCTTTAAGTAGGCCTGCTAAACCATAAAAAGATGAAATTCTCAGCTAATCACAAAATGAAAACCTACTTATCTCACAATGTTTATTTTACAATGTGATCTATACAAAAACCAGATATACCAGAGAAAAGTCAACTTAATTCCTATGTGCATTTTTGCTCTGTACTAACTTGAGCACACCTCCTAAAGAAGTATCACGCAGACAGCATGGAAGTAAAATCAAAGTAGAAGCTGAAAGCGTTTAAAATAATAATATACAGTGTAAAGGTGGTTTATATGCCCTTACAAATACTGATATACTATCTTTTTGTGGGGAGAGGGGAAAAATGTTATTTTCTGTTAGGAATGCAAGTAGGATTGCTCAGTGCTCATACAATGTCCTTTGTACATCACAGAGTACTGCAATACCGTTTTTAGGCTCCCACAGGCGGGTGCAGGCTATTAATATGACAAGTCAGCTCTAATGCTGCAGAACGAACCCCACTGCAGAACTACCCTGAAGGCAGTTTGCTCTACGAAATCGTACACCTGTTAAGCCAACATTTTTCACTACTGCTTTCAAAAGCTAATGGGTTTAATAAAGAGAGGTTAACATTTATGTACTCCAGGATAATTACTCGGGTCACATTCTTAAATATTGTGGAAATGTTTATTTGATTCAATCACTGTCACACTGTGACTTCCTAAGAAATATTCTCACAATAGCAGAGAGAACACCAAACGGTTTAGGTAGCCTGCACATATCATCTTCTAGTCTATCTACTCTAAACTAAATAATTTCAGAAAATATAACTTAGTAAAGGTTCATCCAATTTTTGAATTATGCATCTCCAAATACTAATGTATGGTACAAAATCTGTAAGTAGTTTTTCTAGTAAGAAAGGTAAAAGTCTTTCTAAAAAGCAAATGTCATCTTGTCAATTTTTTTTACTTCTAAAATAAAAATAAATTAAATTAAATAACCACAGTCATCTCAAATCTTACATTAATGGAAGTAACCTGAAAACTCTTAAAAAACAGAATGGATCAGCATTCAGGGAAACCCTCTATGTAGAGTACAGCTATGAAATAATAATGAACAGTTTTTCAGTTTAAAAGTTCATCATCTATGATGAAAAAATGGCTTCAGATTTCCATGCAATCAAATATGGTACCTTTCAAATAAAAACAATTTTGTAAAGTAAGTTAGTAAAGTAAAGACATTTGTAACAAATCAGTACCTTCCATTTGAGTAGCATGAGCATCACTCACGCCTCCCAGCTTCAGAATCAAACCAAAAACCTACACATTTGAAACTGATGCAGCTCTCTCAAGAGCTTCAGGGCTTCTCTGGGCTGGGTCTCTTTAGCTTGGAGAAGAGGAGACTGAGGGAGAACCTCATTAATGTTTATATATATGTAAAGGGTAACTGTCATGAGGATGGAGCCAGGCTCTTCTCACTAGCATCCAAAGATAGGACAAGGGGAAATCGATGTAAGCTGGAACATAGGAGGTTCCGCTTAAACACGAGGAAGAACTTCTTCCCAGTAAGGGTAACAGAACACTGGAACAGGCTGCCCAGAGAGGTTGTGGGGTCTCCTTCTCTGGAGCGTTCAAAACTCGCCTGGACGCGTTCTTGTGTGATCTGATCTAGGTGGTCCTGCTCCGGCAGGGGGATTGGACTAGATCATCCTTTGAGGTCCCTTCCAATCCCTGACATTCTGTGATTCTCAGGATCTCAATGAGGTGAGGGAGAACATCCTGCAAAGAGGCTGATGTTTTGTGGTACTAGATATCCAACTCTTTCAAGACACATATCGATCTGCTTGTGTAGTTTGTGTTTAGCTTAATCCAATTGTCCTTTTTATCCAGTTTAATCACCCACAAGTGGGCTGGAAAGTGACAGAGTAGATATCGAATTCTCATCTCCCATGTGTTAATGCATTAAGATGAAAGTAATTTTTAGATACATCACCATTAAGTGCACTTATACGAGTTAATTCCTGTTGCATCTAAAATACAGAGTTACAAAAGATGACAGTAAAATTTCCTGGTCAAAATCAATAATTAATAGGTACTACCACAACTACACATGAAGAAGAAATAGAGATCTGTCCTGTTCACAGCAGAGCTAGAGGAAGATTTGAGTCTGCACTTTCCAGGTTATTGTGTCACTACATACCACAGAACGACAAGTCCAAACGTACGCACAAAAAAACTTTAATGTTTCCAACTCTTCCACCTGCAAGGACTCTTTAATTCCCTGCTTTTATAGGCTTGCAAAAGAAAACAAAAAGAAAGCGTTCATGAAATTCCGTCTTCCTCCTTACTTTATTTTCTCCAACAAGCAAAATTCAGCTGTAAAGGAGGGGAGAAAAAAAGCTGTTCTTATCTGGCCTATGAATTACTGCCAAAATAAGGCTCTAGCAGAAGTTGTGTCTTTCCCCGTTTTTAAACCCCAGCACAATGATTGAGTCACCAGTCGCAAAAAAACGACTGTCTAAGACAAGCTCATGTACCCGTGCAGAGCGCTGCCCCACTCTTCGAGGGGCCGCGATGCTTCCAGACATGTAAGGCTGCAAAAGGAACGGAGCATAGATATTTCTTGTCAGCAATATTTCTGTTACTAAGGCAAAATTAGAAAATTACAGAGATTTCTGAAATATTCTACGTTTTATCTTCCTCCTAAACATTATTCCCCACCCCCCCCTTCAGTTTTTTTACGTTTAAGTTAGGAACTGCAAATCATTGATGAGTCTTCTACATTTCTGCTCTCTTATTAAAATAGCAACTACTATGATCAAATGTTAAATTTTGTAAAGGGGGAAAAAAATAAAAGCATAGTGCTGGAAGAGGATCCGAGGACTGTTTAATTCAAGCCCACTCATGGAAGCATGAGAAGGCTAGCTTAACAGTTCAGGCAGGTGTTTTTTTTCTCTTAATTTATCTTAAAATCTTCTGAGGAAAGGTGTTCTGCAACTCCTCTACAAGCCATATGATTAGGCAAGTGATTAGCTAGCCT